ATATATATATATATATATGTGTGTGTGTGTGTGTGTGATAGTAGTAGTAGGGGGTTAATACTAAAGATTTTTACAGATTTTGGGTGAGCTATGTACATTTGATCCATGCACGTTAGGCCATGCACCATGTATGTTGAGTCATGCACATTGGGCCATGTATGTATGTTGGGCCATGTATTTATGTCCGTCAGAACAGTTCATCACTTATGTCCGTCAGAGCTGCCCGACTCCACCCTATCATGTCGCTAAAAATGGATACAAGCATGAAAAAAATAAAAAATAAAAAAGGGTAACCTTCTTATAATGATGTCTTTGCTTTATAGATCTAAACTTTTAATCATCCATCCTCATCACACAAGAAAAAGAAGGCATGTTTTACCTTAAAAACTCATGCATCGCCAAGAAATCGAATACATCACGAGATTTTTACAGATTTTAGTAACACGGGCCCAACTTCATATCTTAAGAACAGTAACTGAAAATTTACACTAACATGATCAACACCTTTTTCCGAGCTTATAACTTAAACATTTATTCTACTTTCTAAAAGTAAAATCACTCACATTCTTAATCAATTTTCACCCATTCCGACCCATCTTTTTCATTTCTAACCTTTGTAACTTTTACTTTCTTGGGTGTTCATTTTCCTTTGTGAACTTTGTTATTGATAACCTGTAACGTCCCAAATTTCAAGTCCAAAAATTTCAGTTTTTAATATAACGGTTTGGAAAACATTTAACAGGAATCATCATTAAGTCATATCTTTTGTAAACATAATCTCGTGTCTGAAAATCATATCATAAAAGTAGTAATAGCGTCAGAGTACTATCCCAAGAAATCTCGTAATGAGGAAATCCAATGTGTGTGTATGATGTGCAGCTACCGCGCTGGCTACTTCCCCTTCGCTGAAGAGGTACCTAAAACAAAACTTAAAACTATAAGCACACAGCTTAGTGAGTTCCCCCATCATACCACATACCAAACAATCACATAGCATACATACTATCGAGCAATTTTGGGGTGCCCGACCTACCCGGTATGGCCATTCTGGGGTGCCGACCTACCCATGTCAAGTCATTCTGGGGTGCTGACCTACCCGTGTCAAGCCGTTCTGGGGTGCTGACCTACCCTTCGGTCCTAACAACCGAACCTTGGGGACTATTCCACCCCTATTACTACTATCACATATATCATAACATAACGTACTGTCAGGCATATCTGGAGTGTCCGACCTAACCTTTGGTCCTAGCAACCAACATGGGGACTATTCCCCTACTACTACTACTACCACTATGACATATAACATATCGTGCCAGCATATAACATATCAGGTAGTAGCAAACCTAGATGAATATCACAAAGACAATCATCTAACATACACTTCTACTAGTGGGCCGACATTGTGGCCGTAAACCCACCGCTACTGGAAGGTAACTCACCTCATATGAATGAATGTTGTTAATCCGAGTGAGAAGTCTCTATCTGTTGCTCTGGCTATTCTCCAGAGCTAAAGAACTATAGATGCAGCACAAACTCGAAAGAGAAATTATAGAGGACAATATAGTCTTTTTATAGAGGACAATATAGTCTATATTTTTTTATTCAGAAATATAAAATATAAAATCTATAATAAAAATAAGTAAAAGAGAAATTATAGAGGACAATATAGTCTTTTTATGTCAAGGAGGTACCACCGACGAAACAAAATCAAACTATAAGGACGGTACGAGTGCAAAAAAAAAAAAAGTTATGGATTGAACATGCAATTTTTACAAAACCACATGGACGATTTCAATAATTTGTTCTTTTATTAATAACTTTTTTATATTTTTTTGGCCCATTCTAGCTTATTTTTAAGGATTTGGGTCCCATCCTTACAATTTGATCATTATTTGGTAATTTATAATGATTTTCGTTTCTATTCCAAACAAAATGACCATATTACAATACAACTTATTTTTTTATTTTACATGTAACATCCCAAAAATTATAAGGAAAAAGTTTTATTTTTAATTCAATCAGAAACACCAATTATTTTTTTCCCAATAATTCAAAAGTATTTCAAAATAAAAACAATTATCAGCGTATAGTTCCAAAGTCATCTAGTTGCGGAAACGTGGGTGGATACATTGCGATCAATCCGGCCCCTTCCGTTTTGAACCATAATTACTTGAAACCATAACCATAAAACTGAAAGAATGAAGCTTAGTGAGTTCACCAAACAATACAAGAAAAATACCCTTTAATGACGTGCAAACAATGACACTCACAGATTTACAATACGCATTCTTGTGTGTCCATATAAATAATGTCAGGTTTCCAAAAACTGAAGGATAGAGGTCACACATTTTTGCGTGCCCTTAAATTAGTATCTAAAAAACACGGAGGGCACCTAACGAAAAAAGGGTGTCCTCTAAAGGTGTCGTTTTATATTTTTTTTAATGAAATAAAATACCAAAATTTTTTTTTAATAGCTGGGAAATGAAATACCAAAAAATTAAACACCCCGCCATTTATCTCCTTCTCCTTCTACAATCCTCTACCAATGAACACTAAAAAATGGGGTATCCATAACCTTCGCTTCTTCTCAGCCTCTTGTATCATCCGAGAGGAGCTTACAGTAGCAAAAAAATGGCGGACTCATTAGTACTCCGCGGCACGATTAGGGCCCACACCGATTGGGTCACCGCCATCGCCACTCCAATCAACAACTCCGACATGATCGACACCTCTTCTCGTGACAAATTACTGAATCACAAATACGACCCCTTATTGGAGATGAGAAGCTTCAAGGCTGTAAAGATTATGTCGTCGTCATACCCGAAAACCCCCAGGTTGAGTATCCCTCATTTAAGCGCGGTGTCACATAATTTTGATAAATTCCTCACTTGGTTGTAATGGATTCTACACATCTAATTTGGGTTTTTATTATTTATTCTACACATCCTTGCTTCTGGTCAGCCTAACTCCTTCGAAATATTTAGGGCTCGTTTCCCCTTTCCCTCCAACCGAAAATTTCCCTTCCCTCCATGAAATTTGAAATCGACAGCCAAAGAAATTTCCCATCCCTTCATTGAAAAATTCCTTTTCTAAAATTATAGTTTGATTGATTATATTTGTGCTTCCCTCACCTTCAACAAGATGCAGGAAACCACCGCTCACTGGCCAAACTTCAGGTTAGGGTCTCACCTTCATTAGTGTTCGCTGATACCCACAATACTTCAATTGATCTTTGTTTTTTACTAACCACGTAATTACAGGTCTCACCATCGATTTCTGGTCCAAGCCTACTAAATATTAAGTTGATTTCTTCTCCATCAGAATGATCTTCTTCCACACGTATGTATTATTTGTTTTATTTTCTTTGCTGCGTTTTTTTTTTCTCTAATGGTTTGTTTACCCGTAAATTTGTTTCTTATTCTGAGGTCTAATTAAAAAATTTCTGATTGGGAGTACTGGTTAAGAATTTGATAAGTGTGTGTTATACTAATTTCATTTCTTTTGCTACAGTTAATATTTTGTTTCTTATTGTGAGCCTGATTAAAATTTTAATTACATTTATAGGTAAGTATATATTATGTGTGTTGGTAATGCTCTCTTTGGACATATGTTATTGTGCCTCTTGGACATGGAACTTGAACTATGAAACTCTTACATAAGGTAGATGTTGTTGTTTCTTTGGTTGTATGTTAGTCTGTCTATATGATTTATGTGGGTATTGGTTCCATTGTTATATGTTAACGTATCTTAATGATTCACAAAGGTTCTTCTACTAGACTAAGTCGGCCTTCTTTGCTAACAATCTTTGATTTGAGATTTTTTGTATTTGTATTTGTGTATATGGGAAATTAACTTCTGATTATGATTGTTAATTGCATACTGAAATGAAATCTAGGGTTTTGAATTGATGTTCTGCTTCAGAAATATGTGGTTTCATGTTATGACCTGTTTGTTTTATTAGAAAATATGCATAGGGGAAAAAGGGTGTAAGTTTAGAACATTTGTTTCCTTGCCTACATCACATTTTGTTTGGGTTCGTTTTGACTTTTAACACTTAGTTTTAAGGCTAACATCCTAGAAATACTTCCATTTCTTACAAATATGTTGACATGGCACATTCTGTTACTGAGCAAGAAGACGTGGTCCCCACAGGCCCTCCCTTTTCTGTTGATATACCATCTATAAAAATTGTTACTTCAGTAATTCCATTAGAAGATACTGATATAGGGGAACTTGAAGATGGTATACCTGGTCTAGATTCTTCCACCATGCCTGAAATCCAAGTTGAAACCTCATTGGTTTCATCAAATTTTTAAATACAGGGGACTAGGCTTGGAAGTTCTAATCCAAAAGGATCTTTTAGTAAGTATTTCAAGTTTTTTCTTTCAAATAATGTGAATATACTTTCAAATATGTTGACAATAATAACCATTTTCCATAACTGGATACATTATCTAGCCTTTATCATATTCTTGTAAAAGTTGTAAGCTTTATGTATGTGAAGCTTACATGGGTGAATATGAATTTCAGCTGTTTGTAGGGCCGTTTTGAGATACTATGCTTATTAGGATCTTATCTGCAACCTGATACAGGTGTACTCAACAACCGAACCATAGTCTTAGCATATCACTTTGCAGTCCAGGTATCATATATATTTTTAAGAAATTATAAACTTGAACAATTGTATCTATTTATATATTTTCTGATACAAAGGTTAGAATGATATAACTGTTTGCCTACTATAAGTGAGAAACAAAAAGCCACATTTCATCTTCATAATTATATTTGTTTATACATATGACATTTTCACTATCTCATGAGGTCATATATGTACTAAAATCAAACAGAGGAAGGTCTTTCTAAGCATGGATTCCACATCACAAGATTGAATACTTACACAACGGTATGTATTTTAGTTCTGACAAATTTTTGATGTGGCATTTCACATTCTTATTAATATCAAGGGAATTTCTGTTACATTATTTTTGGCTTGTTTTACTTTAGGAACCTGTACAAGAACTTGATATATCAGTAGCTTGTTTTTGCAGATGCAACTCAGCAATTGCCTGCAGATGTCAGTCAAGTTTATCCACATTCAGTGGTGCATGTATGATTCTCTTACTTTTTTTTTGTTAAGCATGACATATGTAGAAAAAGGGAAAATACATCAGTAGTTTGTTTTTGAATATAATAACTTACTATCTCATTTGATTCAGGGGTATATCTGTAATATCATCAACACTGGTTGTTTTGTGCGTTTCATTGGGCGTTTGACTGGTTTTGCTCCTAAAAACAAGGTATTATCACTTATGTCTCTGCTAATATTTTTTTAATATATATTTCTGTTAGTATTGTTGTTTATATAACCATATATTTTGTATTGTTCAGGCTATTGATGACCAAAGATTTGATCTTTCTGAAGTGTTTTTTGTTGGACAAGTTGTTCGTAGTAACATACTTGAAGTAAGTGTATTTTCTTGGAAATATTATATGTTTCTATTAACAAAGAGAATGTGCACTTCTAACTTGGCTGTGACTAATCTTGAAGCTCCACATTTCCCAATTTTTTGCTGGAAAAAGAATAATACAACAAATGGTTCTGATTTAAAATAAATGAATGGTCAATCAGTTGATTACATAGAACTGAGTAGATTTTTCAACTTTATTGTAATTACATGTTTGATTTCTGGAATCATATGAGTATTGATGCTATGATGCAGTCACCACAAGACTTGGAAAGATTATATTCAGAAGTTCATCTTCTTAGATCATTAAAACACAATAACATCATCAAGTTCTTTGATTCGTGGGTTGATCATAAGAAGAAAAATGTAAATATGATAATTGAGCTCTTCACGTCCGAAAGCCTTAGACAATAAGAAATAATAGATGTGATATCATATTTTATATATATATATATATATATATATATATATATATATATAATTAATGTAATAAATTATATATTTTACTCGACTCTTAATTTGCATTTATGAAGAGGAATACAATGAACTTGTTGACATATATTCTTTTGGGATGTGTTTGTTGGAAATGGTGACATTTGAGTATCCTTATAGCGAATGCAAAAATCTAGCTTCAATTTATAAGAAAGTAACCTCAGTAAGTTTTGTAAATGGTAGCTTAATTAATGGAATCAAATAAGTTAAATGATTGTTTGTTTAAAAAAAACTACATGGGATTAAACCGGGTTCTCTTAGCAAAGTGGGTGATTCTGAACTGAAGGCATTCATAGAAAAATGTCTGGTTCCAGCAACTGAAAGATCATCTGCTGGAAAGAGTCTAGAAGATCCTTTTCTAAAAGAGGCAACACCAAGATCGTTGAATTTCATGGAGATTGATCAATCTGTATGTTTAAACACCAAAAATGGAGTTGCTGAATTCAAGAGGATTCATCAGCAAAACGATTTTAGGTTGAAAGGGATAAAGAATGATGACAATTCGGTTTCTTTGACCTTGCGGATTGCTGACCCATGTGGTGAGAAGCTTTATAATTAACATTTTGTTCTAATAAATTAAGAAGATAAAAAAAGGAAATTAAGCGGTTTGAATTTAATAAAATTGTAAATGTGGTGCAATGGTAGATCTAAATATTTGCATCTGGTTTCAGGGGTTACTCAAGGAAAATGCAAATGGTAGCAAATACTGGGCATATGGAGGTGACTTTGGAGATTCACCAAATGAATTAAATATCTGCTTAAATGGTCTCATATGGCTTGATCAGACTCCTCATCCTGCTCTAAATGGTGATTACTATAAATTTTTGCTTAGTATTTAGGTTTTTGTTTAGTTATTTCCAACAAAAATGTTTCCATGATGAATCTTTTGGTAGAGACAATGTATAAGAATTACTTCATTGAGCTAATTATGATACGATTCTTTGTTTATTTGTTTTCAGAGGTCAAATATTGCTATCAACCAATTAAAATTTCGTTCACCAATGGCATAATTAAGGTATCAATATCATCACTCTTACTTATTTGTCTATATCATTTTCATGAAAATCTTTATGTTGCATATTATATATTCATAGGTCCAGTCGTGCTTTCTATATAGCAAATGTTAGCCTTGGTCTTTGCGTTTTTTGTTCATAGATTACAAACACCAATTTCTTTCAAACAACAGAAGATCTAGAGATTAATTGGGTGATTGAAGGTGATGGACGTAAACTTGATTCTGGAACTCTCAGTCTACCAACATTAGAGTTTAATTGGGTGATTGAAGGTGATTTTTGTTCTTGAAACAAGATTCAAGATATCATATTTTGGCATGGCTAGAAGCTTTGGAGGAAACGAGACTCAAGAAAAAGTAAACACACAAAGAGTTGTTGGCACATAGTAAGCTAGATGATGCAATTGTATATAAATGAGTTCATTTTTTTTATAACATTTACTCACTTTTGGAATAATTATTTTTATTTGACATATTCGTGAAATGAATTATCTTTGTTATTTATGGTATTTTATTTTGTATTATGAGATTTTTAATGTATTATTTAATTTGAAAATTAGTAAATCTATAAATAATATTTTTTTAAACATTTAAAATTATGATATGCAAAAATGTGTGTCATCTTTATTTATGACATGACCTTTCTTGACAGGGGCTTTCTTGATACACATTGCGTGTCATTAACACGCGCGTCATAAGGTTACGACACGCGAATGCGTGTCGTCTTCCTTTATGCCAGGGCCTTCCTTGATACACATTGCGTGTCGTAAAGGCGCGTCGTAATTGCACGTCGTAAATGTGCGTCGTCTCTCTTTATGACAGGGCCTTCCTTGACGCGTATTTGCGCGTCGTTTGAGCCTTTTACGACACGCAATGAGCATCGTAAAAGGCTGTTTTTCTATATCATTGGGCTTACCCCTCACATTATGCCCATCCCTCTATACTGGGACTAACCCTCATACAATGAGCTCAACCCAACATATAAATGTAAGAGTCACACAGACAACTAACATCCTACATAACATACATTGGGTCTATCCCTTCCTAATCCATGTGCTCAACCCAGCATACAAATGGGCCTAGCCCATCATACAATGGGTCTAACCCAACATACAATGCAAGACTCACAAAGACAACTAGCATAACAGATGCTAGTGGGTTGGAATTGGTGCCTTCAACCTACGGATACAATGAGGAGACACACCTCAAAGTTAGAAAAAAATAATTGCTACCATACGCTACTCCAAATACCAACTCTACCGATCACCTTTACAATAAATAATGACCAAAACTCAGACAACCGCTCAACATACCGAAAATACTCTTAGGTCAACTTAGTCAAAATCCTAGTCAAGTCGAAAGTCAAAAGGTTGAAAGTCATCCGAGTTGACACAGTTGAGTACACCCAGCGTACTTAGCTTATATGTTTGGCATAATCAAGATCCACAATCGGGCCTCTCATCGCGTATGCACGATGTACACTAACCTATGCCTAACATACGCTGGCTAATTTCACTTCTTTTTTAAGACCTTATTCCATTAAGTATTTTCGACCGAAGGCATATCTAGTCCTGAAATAACATCTTAAGTCATAAAGTTTCAACCTTTATGATTTTGCATGGCTAAGAAGTGCTCAATACGATAAACCCTAACATCTTAACTCATTAACACATCCTAGAACATGCATGGACGAAAACTAAGGACCAAGACTACATTTTTATGGTTCCTAATAGCTTCATAATGGATAAAGTTTCCAACTTTATCCATTATAACTGTCCAAACAACCAAGATCTAGTCTTTAAGTCCCAAAGGGACCAAAAGAGCATCTTTTTCAACTTAATCCATTAAGTCCATGTCTCAAAACATTATATCTGATTCAATATGATGTTTGGATGGATAAAGTTTCCAAATTTATCCAAAACAAGGTCACAAACATTCAAGATCTAAACTTTTAGCACTAAAGTGATCAAAAACTCATAACACCCAAAACTAGCAAGATCTAATAAATGCATCATCAAGATTCAAACTTTATACATTTAGAAGAAAAATCAAGGTGAACAAAGTTTGGATCTACAAACTCCAATGCAACCAACACTTCTCTAATGAGCACTTTCTTCTCCAAGATGCATCAAGAAGACTCCAAAGCATTTAAAAACACCTTCTTTTTGCTCACAAGGCTCAAACTAGGGTTAAGGTTTCAAGGGAGTGTGTTAGAGAGGTGGAGGTTGAGAATGGAATGGGTTTGGGGAAGTTAATGAGCTTAAATAGGACTAAAACCACAAAAATAAAGTTTTGGAATTGAGCGTGTATGCCCAATGTACTTCTAGTACGCCCAACATACTCAGGAATACCCTTGTACACCCAACATACTTCCATGTGTGCCCAGTGTACGTGGCTTAACCCAAAACCATTGTAACTTCAAACGATCATAACTTCTTCATTTCAACTCCGATTTCGATGATTTTTATATCCATGTAAATGTATTGAGGAGGTCCACAACCCTATCTATATACTATCAACTTAAAACTCATCGAACTAAAATCCTTAATTCATAAAAGAAGTCTGAAACACCACTTTTCCAATTATACCCTTGGGCTGCAAAACATAAACCAAACTATTGGCTCACATAATCTACATTACCCACATCCAAATGGGTATAAACCTCTCCTTCCCCAAGCCCCAAAGCCTTATGATAATTGATCTTCGGGCCACGGCCCCGAAATATGAAACGACTCGAAACAGGGTGTTACATTACAAATGTCTACTTTTTTATTTTGAATATATAATAGCATTATATTATCTGTCACCACCACTTTTTTTTTTATTTCCTGATGAAACCCTTAACTTTTTCTCGCCCACCCCCTATGAGAATTTTTGTTCATGAGAGCCCCACTATAGATAGTTAATGTTGTTGTTTGCTCCATTGATGATGGTCTCGTCTCCGCATCTATCGCCCACTCCTCCACTAATACGTCATTTTCTTCTCTCGTCTCCCTTTTTTGTCTCTCTTTTCTCGTGTCCCCTCTCATCTCTTTCTAATTATGTGATTCCCGCATGATCTGATTATGATCTAATTAGATTTAGGGTTTTGAATATTTTTTAGGTGAATGAATCACATAAAACATACTAACCATATATTTTTCATCTCTACCCTTTTAATTTATGCTTTGTTTATCCTTTTTAATCATTTTTATGACATCATTTAAAATATTTCAGGTGTGTATCGTACTAGGGGACTGGGGGTTGCACTAATGATTGTATCATTTATGATGGGATTAAGATAGATCACTGTTGAAGCCAAAGATTATGAAGTATTCTCTTAATAATTAAGAAACCCATTGAGTAATTTGAAGAAGCTCTTCATGGTGTGTGTGTGTGTGTGTGTATATATGTATATATGTATATATATGTATGTATGTATGTATGTATGTATGTATGGAATTACAAGCAGCTAGCTATTCGAACGTTTAATAAATAAATTTTATACGAGGAAGATCCTTTCAGGTCGTATCTTTAAGGAAATAGTATATAAGTGGAAAGAAGAACGTAACTTTGTAAAATAACGTATTTCTAGTTACAAAAATCATGTACTTGAAGGCAAAGTCAATATAACTTGGTTATAACTTACATAAATACTAGAAGATGAAAGAATATTTACATAGGTTTTTTATTGTCAATTGTCATTTAAGAATCATGGTAAGTCTCCGACTAAGGAACCTACAAATTCTAGTATTTAAGTTGCTCCTAACATACCAAGCTCAATTAAAACACACACACACACATACACACACACTCATATATATATATATATATATATATATATATATATCATTATTATATATAAAAACCGTTTTATTTTCGTGCCTTCCACAAGAAATTTTTAGGGTTCAATAAACTCCACGTAGCCTACTCCCGAAACGATGCAACATACCAAAATGTCACTTACATCCTTTTGACATGTCGATTACAATTTCCTAATCGTCTCATCCCCTGGAACGGCTTCCTTTTTCACTTCGAAATAGCCATCCATTCTCCATCTCTCCAAACACACGAACCGATTCCTCTCCAACAAAAAACCGACCATATCTTCCAAAAAAAGAAAAACAATGGTTGTGCACCAAAAAATCTGCCCGTGCAATTTTTTTTACTTACTAAATCGAAGAAGAACGATGAATCTGTGATCTTCGTTTTACTGGTATGTTATCTACAACGCTAATTTGATTTAAAGTTTTTTTACTTGTTACCGTTAATCCAATCGACATTTTTTCTTGACCCGATGAAATCTATTCGAAATTATCCCTTTTCCTCCAATCTTGGAAATGCAATTTCATGCATTGGCACATTTCTTTCTTCTTTTTGTGTTCCTCTATCTCTCTGTTATAGGAAGAAAATATTTAGGAAGAATACGAAGGTTGAATCAAGTAAAAAAATATTTCTCCTTTGATCTCCAATCAACAATTCCGAAGTTTAGGTTATTTTGCCTCAATTTTCCCTAATTAGCCTCAGCGCTTTTATTCAGTAATTTGTTTTGGAAGCGCTTCTCATTGATGAACATTCATGTTATCTTTCTCTATTACTGACCCTCTAACTTTAGAGGATAGATGAGGGTTTCTAGAAACCATATCCCCAGTCACTTCCCTGGAATTCCTAAACCCATGAACTGAAGTATTATGTTTCATAGGTGTTTAAAACAAGAGACCCCTTTTATTCCATGTGTGGAACATGCAAGGAGCATAAGGAAGTTACAGTTATATAATATTTTCTGTAAATCCATGTGCCAGTTTCAAGATAATCACTTTGACAAGTTCTTTCATTTTCCTTTAAGTTGGATTGGGTATTAAATTGAACCATGTGACTTTGTGGATCGATGACTACTATTCATCTACCTTCAGTTTCTAGCAATAATTAAACTGAAGATACAAGGCTAAAGGAAGATTTCTAATCCTCGCTTCTCCATTTTTTCTATCATCTAGTTTGTATCCTCCCTTTTCCACCCTGAATATTTCTTGATAATTGTTTATCTAGATTGCATATATGGTCAATTTCATCGTGTAATCACATCTCTTTTTTTTTTTGTATCTTTTATAACTCTTTATAATTTGAATTTGGTCGGGCATTGACAGGAATCATGCATTATTCTTGCGAATCTTTTGTAGTCCACCTGTTTGTGAAAATGTTTATGTCAACCAAATCACCGCTAACAAGTTTTCTTGAATGCTTATATTTGATTAGTATTTTTTTTCCTTCATATATTTTCTAAACATGTCGACTCAAATTATCTTTTCGTATGAATCGGGTTAAGCTGTTCAAATAACATTTTTCATGAATATGATCTTCTAAAATTTTCATAATTGATTACAATTTGATATAGATGGGAGATATTTTGATAATCCAGTTGAAGTTAGTGGTAGCCGCTTCATGTATTGCTTGAATATATGTTATTCCATCTGCGCATTTATGAACTTCACACATTCAACAAAATGCACTCGAGGTAAGTGTTCACCATCATTGGTTCTTGGAGTGAAATATTAGGTTAAAAGAACACATTTAATCATGAACTCGTGATCTAAAATTTAGGAACTGATATATCAGATGGAGACCCATTATAGAGAATTAGGGTATATTTTGTCACTAAAAATCTATATTTTTTTGTCTTAAATATTATGGTAGATGAAGTATGTCATTCACATGATATATTATTGTTTACTACATCTATTTGACGATAAAATGATGAAAGTAGGTAGTGATTCAATGCATTTCGGATTTATATTTTATTTTATTGTTTTTGAGTGGTTAAATTGATTACAAATGTCCTGAAACCATTTTTTATATTGCCAAATTGTGTGAATATGCTACTAAAAGTCCTTTTTGTAGCTCGAAAGTTAGTGAGCAAATTCATTTTGTATAATCTCAAATTCTAAATCAATGTGTTAACGGCATACTAACATATCATAGAAACTAATTATTTTATATAGATCAATTTATCTTGAAGAAAGGATTTACAAGGAGTTATGATTAAATCATGTTCATGTGGTTACTGCTATAATAGAGTTTGTATAGTAAGTTAATTTACATGTGCAAGGAAAATATAAAAGTTGTTCTACAATATCTCTCTATTCTCATACTCTTTTTACTATCCCGTATAGATGTTTATTTTGCTAGATTATGGCCGGAATTGGAACTTAATTACATTATGTAACAACCGTCATGCAAAAATTATGAAATCAAACTTTCATTTATTCATTGATAGTAACAATATAGTTCCATGTTCTTTTTCTTATTTATGCTTTTTCATAATCCACACATTTAAAGAAACAATCATCACTTTTAGGATATTAGCACATTTTATTTTAGATTACATTAAAATAATTACCTAAATTACTTTCTGTGGGTCGTGCTTAGCACGGGCCCGAAACTTTTCTGCTATATATATATATATATATATATATATATATATATATATATGTGTGTGTGTGTGTGTGTGTGTGTGTGTGTGTGTGTGAGCTTGTAAAATTGTAGAAAGTAATTCTTATTGTAAATCTCATGAAAATTCAACTCGAAACAATAAGCTTTAAGACTCCATCAACAATATTTGTTGCACTATTTCAACAGGCTAACACACATACATGATTTTTAATGAAATTAAGGGATTTTGTGTTCATTCAAAAGGCTAACACTGGTACATGATTTTTGTGATGATGCATTCACACTTTAAAAACAAATAATCTTTTTTTTTCCACATATTACAAACTTTGGTCCATATATTCCTCTACAGATGTGGAAAAATTATAGGACTTTTACCTCTTAAAAAAACAAAAACAAAACCTATATAAATATAAATCTAGATAGGCATATAAAACAACCAGTTTTAAATTACACCTGAGAAAGAAACGACTTTGTATGTTATGATAAGATTTTATGGCTTCAAATATATGTTATTCCACCACTTGTCGAGTCTTTGTACTCTTTCTCTCAACATACTAGTGGGTGCCTTCGAAAAAAATCCTTGTACCATTTGATAGATTCGGTGGATCATAATCTCTCTGTTAACCATTTTTGTACTTTATTCAAATCCAATGAAGCGATCAACTTAGGGCGGATCCTTCGGACTCCCTAATGGGTTAGGGAAAATTTCCTTCTATAATTAAAAAAAATGTTGTATTTTGCTTTTAACAAATATAACATTTCTCGAAAATATATATGTTTTCAATGATATTTAAGAATTTTTAAGTAAAAAAGGTTTGTCACTTTTGACAATTTTCATACAAACGTTACCATTTTCAACTAATTTTGTTGCAATAGATGTTTTATGAAACAGTTATGTTGTAAAGGTAGGCTACTATCAAAGGAAACTAATTTGAAAAATTGCTTTTAAAAGGTTGGATTAAAATTATTTTCTAATAGTGTTCATATATGTAATCATTATTTTCTACAATTAAATGTGTGAGTGACAAAATCATGTATATATGGTTTAGGTTCTATCCTAAGAAGTTCCCTTAATGGTGGATCGAGTTTCAGAGCGTGCACTAAACAAAAATGAACTACAACAACATTGAGGTCAACCACGTTAAATATGTGTTTGATTACATTAATCTCTAAATCAAGGTTGTCAAGATCGGGATCCTACTTAGGATCGTTTTTGGGTTTGCAAAATCGGAATCGTAACATCGGGATCGAGATCCTAAGATTCCACAAAATAGAATATAATTTTAATTTATAATATTAATCATAAAAAATATTTCAAACATTTAATTTTTCGTTCAAAAGTTATAAAAACTTTAAAATATTAGTCATAAGTCACAATAAAAATGATAAATGGTAGATTGGTAAAGGGTAAAAGACATAACATGGTAAAAAAATTTCATTTAAAAAAAAAATTAAAGGAAGGTAGGATCGGATCGGATCTCGATCCTACGATCCTACCTACGATTTTACGATCCTACCTGCGATCCTACCCAAAATACGATCCTTTTACGATTCGGATCGTTTTTCATACATAGGATCGTAGGATCGTACGATTCTACGATCAGGATCGTGATTTTGACAACCATGCTCTAAATATTACATTTGAAGATAGAATTTCCATATTTAAATAGTAGCTAGTATTGTATGATTGTGTTTGAAATTGAACATTGTAACCATTTTTTATTTATTTTTTGTTAGTGACTGTATGACAACCTCTAAGAGTAGGGGTGTAAGTGAGCCGAGCTACTCGTGAGCTACTCGGGATCGACTCGTTAAAAGCTCGACTCGAGATCGAATTAAACGAGCCCGAGCTGAGCTCGAGCCTAAATATGAGGCTCGTTTATTAAATGAGCTCGAGCCGAGCTTCAATTAATGGGCTCGCGAGCCTAAACAAGCTTAAACGAGCCTCTCTCTCTCTCTATATATATATATATATATATACACACACACATACATACATACACACACACACACACACATATATATATATATATATATATATATATATATATACACACACACACACATAGAGGCTCGTTTAGGCTCGATAAGGCTCGTGAGCCCAATAAATTGTTCATGAGCCGAGCTCGAGCTTCATTTTAAGGCTCGAGCTCGAGCTCGAGCTTCCTCAAATTAAACGAGCCGAGCTCGAGCTTTGTCAGGCTCGGGCTCGGCTCGGCTCGTTTACACCCCTATCTAAGAGCATCTCAAATCTACTCTCATTCTCTATATTTTTTTCTCTCATTTCTTTATTCATTCCTCTCAAAACCTACATAATTTATTCCCTCATTTTGGGGGAAATGAATAGTATGAACTTTGAGTTATCGGTTTTAGTTCCTCGTTTTATGTATTTATACATTTTTTGTTTTTTATCTATTAATTATTATTTAAATGTAATATTTAATACTTATAATATTGTGTTGTATTTTAAATTATATTAATTAATTATAAATATAAATTTTGTTTTTTGTTTATCAAATTCATATTAAAATTTAAATACATATTGAAATTTTAAAACACAATGTATTTTACAAAAACTTATAATTACGTATTATAAATACAATCTTATTTATTTAATATTATGGTAATGAAAAAAAAAAAATTATGTATTTGTTAAAATCAAATTAATATAAGGAGTGTTTTTGATAATTTATATAAGTTATAAGAATGGAATATATTTTTTGACGGTAAAAATAAAGTAAAAAATGGAAGTGGGTTGTAGATGATCTAAATGATTCTGATCTGAATGACTCAAAATGAATGTCTTTGAATGAAAACATGTTTGTTGTCATGTTTCGAGTCCCAGTGAATAGGAGATAAAAAAAAAAGCAATTTTACCATTCCCTTTAGAATAACACAACAATGTATTTATCACATATGTATTTTTTTTTTCTCAATTTTTTTCATAAACTAAGTTTTATATATATATATATATATATATATATATATATATATATATATATATATATATATATATATATATATATATATATATATATATATATATTTCAAAATATAAAGACCTCAAATAACATTGAGGGATTGTAATTTTAGGTTACCAATGATCTTAGATCGAACATCAAAAAAGTAGGAAATAGGCAACCTGAAAACGGTTAAGGGTTTAAATCAAAACTAATACATTGAAAATGAAATGCATCTCTTGCAAATGATATCAAAGATCATTTAAATAGTGGAAATTAAGCGTAAAAAGCAATAACCAAAATGCCAAAATGAAAATCAATTAACCAAGCCCATATACAACTGAGATATGATGAATCAATACCCAAACCATAAATGGTACCTACTCAGCCATTAGGTGCATCATAGTTTAGTTTTACATTCTTGCTTGACCCTATGCATTATGCCCTACACCCGGAAAACCACAATCGACCATGAGTCCCATCTGAGACATATACATGATTATCAATTGAACCACGTATCTAAGCGCTATCTAGCTACGTAGTAGTACTGGAGCGAACAATCTCTTTGATTCCAAGAACAGTTCGCGACACCAGATTGTTAACCGTGTTAATGGTATCCATTGTTATGAGGTTGGGTGTAACCAAGTCTTGCAGCGACATCTGAAATCCCACTGTCACCATTGAGCCATCTGCTTCTGACCCTGCAGGAACAATATATAACCCACATGGCAACAACCCTACACCAGAAGTATCGCCATTGTTCATCATCATAGACACTGTTGGGAGATCCACAGGTGCGTATACTATCAATGATCCCGTCATATCACTTGCGGTTTCTTGCACTACCATTACTGGGTTCTGTATGTTCAACAACAAACATTAATAGAAAATATATATATATATATATATATATATATATATATATATATATATATATATATATATATATATATATATATATATATATATATATATATATATATATATATATATATATATAAAAAGCTTGTATACTCACGTCGGAACTTAGTAGAGATATGGAGTTAGGGTTGTTGGTATCATGGGTCATGGTGAAATGGGCGACATTCCCGGTAGCATTGCATAACACGTCCCACATGCATCTCAACTCTTTATTCAGCAACAGATCGAATAGACGTCGATGTGTTATTGGAATCCATATTGAAATGGTCGCAGAGAGGATGGTTCCTGCTGGTGGAGAACTCATGCTCTTCCGTGTCATAATCCTTGCAGGTGCATCAGAAACCAAGTTCCACTGTTGACCACCTGTCAGACAAACTCCGGCACAAAAGCTACTCGTCATGCGTCTTGCTAAATCTTTTAAGCAACTTCTAGTATGTTGGTCTAGCTGGTAGTTGGCAGTAGTAGCCGATGACAAGGCTCTTAACCACTCACAATGTCGGAGGAGTGCACAAATCCATTTTTGTGCACCAAACCCTACACCTGACCTAACTAACTCACGGTATTTATGATCGACTGGACCTTCATCGTACTCTGTATGTTCTACCCACGTCACCTGCAAACACACACACACACACATATATATATATATATATATATATATATATATATATATATATATATATAGAGAGAGAGAGAGAGAGAGAGAGAGAGACCTTTGAGAAACCATTTGGCAAATCTTCCAGAATACAACCAGAAGGAAGCCTTCTACACATCAGTCCTTCCCTCCCTTCAGCTTCAACGGACAAATCAACCACTACCCATAATCCATCCGCTTGCTGTCTGCAGAATCTAATAAACTTCACCACACGAGCTGATACTGAAGGTGTAATTAGTTGAATCTCCGCTTGCATCTACATAACGTTTAGTCCATTTACATTTTCTGAGTTTAACATTAAATTAGTTATATATAAAATTCCAAGAAGCTGGCTTACAAGTTGGAGGACACCATTTCTCGAACCTCCGATGGCACCATCTGAAATGACTTCCAGCGTAGCACTACTTCCGATCATCCCCACAAACATTTCTCTCCATCGATTCTGAGAAATTTATAAATCATAACAATAATGTTTTCTTATAGGATCGATGTACGTAACATATATAGGTGTAATTAATGAAGGATCTTAAAAAGCTTACTGCATCGAGCAACGCTTCCACGAGGTCTAAGCTTCTGAGAGATACCACACCAGTAGCCCTTGAAGCCTCGGAAACGAATCCAAGTGGTTTCGTGCCAAGGAGAGGAGGAAAAGACCTTCCATACTCGTTGAAGTTAAGTGTTTCTCCTCCGGTTTCCATGTTTCGGTTCCAGAGTGGAGCATCTACATGCCCAAGTTTCATAAGCTCATCCATGGCACTTGAAGCAAGATCCCGATACTTTGTTTTCTCGGGTACGTTGATCATGCTGTCAGCATTAACCACGCCTACTTCGGATCTAGAAGGTGGCGGTATTAATGGTGAATCGTTTGAGACTAGATTTTTTTCTGCAATATTTCCCATTTGTAATCCGGTCTCTATTGGGTTTCTGGCTTCTCCTACAGAAGCTTCATGCATTTTATGTATCAAAAACTCTTTAATTTATAATTCTTTTTACGATTTTAAATAAAAATATAAATAAATAAAGGAAATGATTTTATAAATTACACCTGCTGAGCATTCCGTTGCTAATGATGACGAATTCCTTCCCGATAGTTGACGAATGAGTCTTGTGAGTCGTGTAAGCTCCTCTTTCAATCGGGCGTTTTCGATCATTAGGTTCCGCTCATGAATGGATCTATCAACTTGAAGTGTAGGTCCACCACAATTCTTGCAGACTGTTTTTTGCAATGCCTCTTTCATGGCTATATTCTCAAGCCGAAGGTTGTCATTCTCTTCTCTCAGAATCTTGTTTTCATGACGATCCGTTTGAGTCTTGACCATGTATATTGCATATAAATTTTTAAGTAACAACCAAATATTGACTAATTAATATTTAACCAAACTATTATATCAAACCTTACCTTTAAATGCGTTCTTCTGTTTTGGAACCAGAATTTAACTTGATTCGCTTCCAGATTCAGCCTCCTTCCAAGTTCCAATCTTTCTCTCTCATCTGGGTTAGGAGTCTCTCTGAAGAAACTATCGAATAGAAAAATATCATGCATAATTAACTCTCTCAAGATTTGAAACAATAGATTTGGTCAAGAGTTAAAATGGAAATTATGTATTACTTTTCGAGTTCTTGAATCTGGTAACGAGTATGGCGATATTTCTGTCTCCTGCGTGAACTCGAAGAAGCATCACGATGGATTTCTTGTTCCTCGCTTGATGTGACTTCGAAGGTCTCGTTTGCATCAGACAACCTTGTTTCACGTACTTCCTTCCTGGGCCTAATTTGTTTATCATTTCCTTCAGAGCTTTCCAATGCCAAACCAAATTCTCCAAATCCCTTCATCTTAATTTGGTTTCTGTGTGCAAAATCATCAGGAGCATAAATGAAACCGAACACACTAAAAGCAAACAAAAAGCCATAAAAAACAACAAAAGAACCATTGCGAAAACAATAAAGGTGGCAACAATATGGATAAGGGATGTGTATTTACACATGGTGAGTTAAATCGTTGGAAACGGGAGCATGTTGTTATATATTCCCTCAGCCCCTTTGGTCAAAGATGAAAACAAATTTAAAGTACGTCTTGATATATTTATATAGTTGATATTACTAGAGTTCTAATTAAATATTTTGTAACCCTAATTTAAAATAAGAAGCCTAAAATTCAACATAAGTTTTGTTTAAATTGTGTATTCATAGTTGCTATTGTTTTTTTTTTTTCTGAACAACAAGAAATATTATAAGAAACTTTTTGTAACCTTAATCCAATAAGAAGGTTAATTTGCTTATAAATCATTTATATTAGATTGGAATTTAAAACTGATTCATTGCATGCATCTTCAAAATCGATACTACAATTAGTGATAAACAAATGCATTTAAAAGAAAGACTCAGTACAACAATAAAAATTGAATAAATCAAAAACACATGATAAGGTATTTGAAGGGGTTGGTTTGGATATAAAAATCAACTTACAGTAACACACGGGAGCTAAAGAATACACTACAGTTGATCTTTGATCTGGCTTACTCCAAAAACTTTTTTTTTTTTTAATCAAAAACAACTCTTGAATGAGTTGTGCATGGAAATAGGAGATACATTTATAGGAGGGGAAAGGGGATAATTTATTTATTTATAATTTTTATTTTTTTGAAAACTTAATGTTTAAACGGATATATTTAAAAGGTAACCTTAAAAGACAAATTGCATATTTGGAAGGAAAAAGTAATTATATTTCACGAAATAAATGCTATAAATCTTGGATAAGAAAATTAATGTATTAATGATAAATGGTCAAAGCTCCAGATATATAGTGATGTAACAAAAAAAATGAGTACAAACTGTACAATAATAAGACAACATTCAATGTATATTTCTTCATTTTGTTATTCAAACAAAATCTTACATTAAGTTTTTTTTATCTTATTTTTTAAATAAGTCTAATATATTAAATTACATATCTTTTTGGTCCGTTTGAATCGAATGTACGATTTGTTGTATTGGCAATGAAATTAATGCATATTTCTTCATTTTGTTATTTTAACAAAATCTTTCATTTAAAATAAAAAATTTAGTTGTGTTTTCAATAATTTGTTGTAATCGACTTAATTGATGCGTGAACATTTTGAGTAAAAGATTTAAAATTTACAATGGTAATACTAGATATCTTCATCATTATCTCTCTATATTAATAAAATAGTAGTTTTTTCTATCATGTGTTATCATATTAAGTTTCATAATTAATGTGATATCATTTGTGAACTTATTAATTCTTCATTTAAAATTTTAAATATCACACTCTAATTATTACATTAAATTAATAACATTATAATAAAAAGTAATTAAAACTAGTAGATATTATAAGATAATATAATTTCATATATTTATTTGAATCAATAATTATAATTTTATATAACTAAAAAATATATTTTACTTTATTATTTTTTTGAAATAATTAATTAATAATTTTGAATTTTTACTATGAAAGTTTAATTAATTTTGTAGACATGATTTCCACGGGTTATAACTAGTCCAATAAATAAAAATATTTTTGCCACGTGTTATTTTTCTTTGATTTGGACAAATGACATGTTCTCACATTTTTAGATTTTATTGTTTCCCACAAATAAATACCACATACTCGCATGTTCTTCCTTTAAATCTCATAATAAATGCAAAATCAATCTTAAAATAAATCATAATCAATGCTATAAATAATAACAACACGAAAATTGTTTTCTTTCCAATGTAAATCCGTAAATTCAATCTATATTGACAAAATTCATTGTCATTCATACAAACTTTCCATATGTGTCAATGTCTATTTCCGTAAATAACTGTTTAATGTTAAAAAGTTGATATTGATTTTTTTTTCAATAAACCAGTGTGAAACACGTGTCTGGGTCTCACACATAATATTTTAATAAATGATTCTTTTTTCGCCATATGACATCTCTTCAATTCATAAACTTTCAAAGTAAATTACCGATTATGTCCTTATGAAATATCCCTAAAATTCTGATCGGTTTATTCTTTGAAATCACGTCTCCTTCAATGTCGCTTCTTGATTTTGGAAACTAGATATTGATTCGAATTTTAAAATTCTCAAATCTCTGAATGGAAACATCGATCCTTCGATTCCGCTTCTTGATTTTGGAAACTAGATATTGATTCAAATTTTAAAATTCTCAAATCTCTAATGGAAACATTGATTCCTTTTTACCTTTTACTTGAAATTGATTGTTAACGGATGATATATTTATTGTATATTTGTATTTCTAGCCCATGTATTGTAGCCTCTTATCGGCCCATATAGCTTTGTATATTGTACGCTATGTATATATTTGTTTGAGATTAATGAAAGTCTTTCATGGGAAAATACTTAGAATAGCATGGTGTCAGAGACCATTAACCCTAATCGATCGATCCCAACCCTTCCACTGTTGCTCTTTTTTCTCCATGCTTTCTGATATTTCTCTACTCACTGATCTTTCTCTTCTCCCTCCTGGTCATAATGACGGGTGAGACATCCTCTTCTTCGACCCACAAAGCATATGGAATCACGAATATCAAAACCTGTGTCCCGGTGATTCTCGATCTTACTACTCACAATTATCAACCACAACGTGACCTGTTTCACTACAAGAAAAATTGAAATAGAGTACAGGGTAATATAATACGGTCACTAAAACATACGTACTAGATACGTTACAAAATGAAAATAACACGTTTATTTTTCATATGTGTTTATTTATTGTTAATACTAAAATCTTATTACCCCCGATAGTTAGCCCTAAATTAAAACCGTTCCATGTGTATGCTCGCTGTCATCGCCATAGCCACCGACTCCGACACCGCCACCACTGATTGTTGCCGCCATCAGTAAGTTTCGCTTTTACGTTCAAGGTGTCTCAATGTTGCTTAATCCTTGATCGAGTTTAGGAATACACATATGTGTATGTATTTTTTGCATTTGTGTATATATTTTTCTTAATCGTTGATTGAATTACACATCCACAGATGAAGGTAATGAACGCAGGTTTCATATCAAAAACGTCAACAATAGATGAAGGTAGTGAACGAAGCGAAGGTCGAGAAAAAGAGACTCAATATTCTCTCTTGAACTTCTCCCTATGTCTACCTCTGCTCTCCATAGCAAATTTAGAATAGCCGCCACATATCTCAAACACATTGTACCATATCTCACATACACACGCACACACACACACACTCTTTCTCTCTCATGGTCACAAACATTGTGTCTTTTGGAGGAGCTGCAGTTTGTGGATATTACAGAAGTAAGTTTTTGGATCGTATGTCAGCTACTTTTCCCAAGGTATTAACAAACAAATCTTTGTTTATACCTGCAGTTGATCGGAAACACACATTTGGTTTATCTCAACAATGTTGTGGAAGGTTATGTTGGACGTACTGCAGCCAAATTGGAAATGATGGAATCCTGCTCTAATGTTACAAAACAGGTACATATATCATTAGACTAGAAAACTTTCATTTTCAAATCTACAGGCTTCTAGTAGTTAATTACTTTTTGAATTGGTTATACATACTATGACTTACGAGGTTTACGTTAATAAACACTACAACAGTTATCAACTAGCCTATTGAATTTGAGGGGTGATATGTTTTATGATTGTATTATTATGATTATATGTGTATGGATCTGATTTTTTTTCTGGTGTGTTTACTTGTGGAGCGCAAGATTAGTTACAACATGATCTCAGATGCGGAGACAAATGGCTCATAAGCCCTAGACATGTTTGCTAACATATATAGTTGATATGTCCTTGAAGATCCTTGTGTATTTTCAATTTTTTCCATATATCTGACATGTAGTTTTTGTTTTCTTTCTAAAGAATGTTCTTATTGAACCAACAAGTGGTAAGACTGGCATTGGACTAGCTTTCATGGCTGCAACAAAGGGTTACAGGCTGATCATCACCATGCCTGCATCCACGAGTATGCAAAGACAAATTATTTATTCTTTATGCTTTTGGTGCTGAGTTGGTTCTTATAGATCCTACTAAAGGAATGAAATGTGTTATGCAGAAGGTTGGGGATATATTGGCTAAAAAATCAAATGCATACATAGTTTGAGAATCCTATAAATCCAAAGGTAGCTTCTTTAACTACTTTTGTTTTTCTATCTATTTTAAAAATCTAATTGATTATTGTATATTCTAGATCCATTATGAAACAACTTTTAAAGGTTCAGATGGTAAAGTTGATGCTTTTGTTTCGGGAATTGGCAGTGGAGGTATAACAGGTGCAAGGAAATATCTTAAAGAGCAAAACCCTAACATAAAGGGTTGTGTTTACTTCTTTAGAACTAATTTGATAAGTTCAACATTAACACTATTAACTGATTAATTTATTTTTGGCATCAACTTTATGGATTTGAGCCTACCGAAAGCCTATTTTGTTTGGAGGAAAGCCTTGTAAGCTACTTTGATGCTTTTTTTAGAATTGTAACCTTTATATTCTATTTTCATGTTCTCATTGTCAAATCAAAGTACCAAGAAAATACATAGATGATTAAATATTGTTTGACCCGAGTCAAAGAGGTAATACAGTAATATATATATATATATATATATATATATATATATATATATATATATATATATTCTTGCTTAATAAGCATAATGATAATTTATATAACAAGGATTTTACCTAATTTGGGAATAGATTGAAGTAAAGGAACTTCCCTTTCAATAAATGAGTAATGTGTTAATCACTTTCTATTGTGAAGTTGATCTGAGACCATTGTTGTTGTCACTTGCCAACAAGGTTGAACAAATCAACATGAATATCTAAATGAAGATGCCGGTATCATCTTATATACTTCCATTTTTAATCATCTTTCATATGTTCCCACTTTTAATCATTCATGTTTGAATTATATAAGTGAATTGACAGTTATGGACTCAGATTGGCTAAATGGGACAAAAAGTTCAATTTTTTTAGTTCCACCCAAAGAGGAGGGAGATAGACTCGCTCTTAATCTTTAAAATTCTAAATTTAAAGATATTAAATAACCAAGGATGGAAAAATGAACTAATATATGCATATTCATTAAAGGGGAACAACTCATTTGTAACTTTTATTCCGAGGACCAAGAGGAAAGGATTTATGTGCATATGCATACGGTTGGAGTTGGGGGCTACTATTGGTCATGGATGCTTGTTGCTTGCTGTGGGGAGTGAGGGGAAAAGATTTAAGATGCCACATGCAAAAGGTATTCTCTTATCATAATTCATACATTTTGATATATCTTTATTTATTGTATTGTGTTTCAACAAATGAGGAGTCTTTGCTATGTTACTTTTAGTTGTATCGTGTTCCATCATCAGTTCCATCTTCTGGATTGATGTCATACAATGATGTTCTTATATGTGCAAAGGAGGTTGGTCTGTTTTCCATAGTATGATAGACAATGATGTTCTCATTGTATTTCAATAACTGTACTTTATTTCCTATTTTTCTAGTAGTGTAGGTGATCAATTGATGAAACACTAAAAATAAGGATCTTAGTATGCCATTGTATGTCAGTAGGTGATCACCTGATGGAACACTAGGGACTCAACCATATATAGTGTGATTGTATTAGATTTTAATTATGGATTTGCAATATAGTACGGTTATATGTGTAATATAGTACTATTGTATGTGTAATATAGTACGGTTATATGCGTATGTGATTGTAATAGATTGTAGTTAAGTATGTGTAATATAGTACGATTATATGCATGTATTGTATTGATTTATGATCGTATTAGATTGTGTTTTTGAAGTTTTGATTTATGGTTGGAATGTGATATAGAGTACGGTTAAATAATCGTACTCTATTAGGTTGCTTAATCTAATACTCCCCTCTATAAATGTGGTTCATAGATCACATTGATGACACTTATGACCCTCCAAAGACGCCCCCAACATATCTGAAATGGAGTAGACTTGATAACATGGTCAAGCTTTGGCTCGTTGGATCGATATCTCAGAAACTCACCACTTCATCCTACTCCATCAACGCCAATGCACGTAAGATCTAGACTAACATTCACTTTATTTTCTATGAAAACAAGGAATCAACAGCCCTACAAGTGGAAAATGAACTCATAAATATAACAATTTTGGGCCGCCAGTGCATGAGTAATGTGAAAAAGTCAAACAGCTTAGTGATTTGCTTGATGGCCATGGTGAACCGATCAGGGATAGGAACCTTGTTACTCACGCTATCAATGGACTATCAATCAGATATGAGGGTGGTGCACATATCATTCGATTTACCAAACCCTTCATTTCCTTTTCCAATATGAGGTCTATGTTATATGGAAGAAACCCAAATCAATAGTACCATTGTCACCACTCCATCGCATGACTCTCATCCTTCGTCGTCCTCATTTCTTCATGTTGGAACCACCTCTTTAAATCGAGGAGGCGGTGGTGGTTCTTACCAGGGAATCAATCGTTGAGGAGGAGGCCATCAATAACATCGACATAGAGGTGGAGGTAACCCTCAGTACGTCCCTCATAACCCACCGTATGGGTGAATCTATTTTCCATCACTACAGGTCGCTCCATAACAAGCCTGGTCTGCTTCATCTTCGGTCCAGCAAACTCCTTGGGCTGGCACAAATTAATTACAACAGCAACAACAGTCGGCCCAATGGGGCATGCCTACTTTTGGCGCACAAGGTCTGTTGGGTAGCAGGCCCTTATTTGTACAATAACCAAATTTTTTTCTCAAATCAGACCCATTTTCAGAGTTTTAGAACTGTTCAACCTCCGTGGGCATTTCTCGGCAATGATCAACCAATTTCTCTCTCATAAATGTTCAATACCATGTCTCTAAACGACCTTGAAAATGATGGTTGGATCATGGTTACCAGAGCAACTGATCACGTTCACTCCCATTGATGTATTCTGAATTCCTTTAGTAATAATCATTACACTCGTTCTATTCATCTCCCGACATCCTCCTTCATGGGTCCTCCCACACTCCACACAACAGCCCCAACCCTAATGGCCTCCCGAATCAATCTCATGCTTGGCCCACTACAATCTGAGTCTACTATGAGTTCCTCTTCTCGATGTGCTCCAAATCAATCTCATGCTTCCGGAACTTGGCAGTGATCTTTGCTACAGCCTCAGTCGTCTAGCAAAGGTCCTGAAACTCCCCTGCCAACTACTGCACCTCAATAACTGGTGCAAACTCGGCCCTACACGGGGTCACAACTCATCCTAAATCACCGTATGCAGGGCTTCGCCACCCAAAGTGAAGTCTACCTCCTTCCACCAATCCTCGAGTTCTGTCCTTCATAAAAAAGGAAGCAAGTCTGACCTTCGGACCCTCGGGAAGAAACTTGTCCAGGAAGCATTCCAATGCTTGTTAACCATCTTTTATTGATAATGGGGTCCTTCTCCCCAAAGAACTCGGGAGCTCCACAAACACGAAACACACAGAAAGAAAGAGTGTGAACTCTAACACTAACCAAAATCTCAGTATGGAATGCGCCCAACTACTCTTCTAGAATCTCCATAATACCCTCCTTGATCGTACCAAGGATCACAAGAGTCTACTCAAGAATGTTGCGAGTAATTACAGACGAAGGGCATCCCCGCATCTGATCATCCAATTGCCCGGCTCCAGAACCTAAGCCCGAGCCTTCTCCAGCACCAGAACCACCAATCTGTATGCCTCAAAGAGCCATCATACTCAAAATAAACCCTTAGAAACCATCAGAATAAGCATCAATACATGTTGAGCAATCTCATACTCTACAAGCTTCTTGGTCTCATCGCAACTCTCCTTGACTCGAGTACGGGTCCTGTACTTCCAATAGTTTGGGCCCATACTACCTTCCACGTCTATTTGTACTTTCCTCAAAGATCACTTTGAATCCTCCAAGTCACTCCTAATCCACATAAATAATCCTCCACAAGACAAGGCTCCTAATACTAAATCTCTTCCTAGGTTTTCCTAGGGCAATCACCATGCCACTCTCCACCATCAGCTGCAGAAGGAACTCTTGCTAACTCCCTCTAACTAGCATACGAACACATTTACATATCACCAAAACTAGATAACTCTTTGAATGAGAGGTCTCACACTACAACGGTTGGACTCAGACAAGAGCTATGCAATAGAGTTAAAACCTAACCTCTAAAATTATTTAGTCTCAGTAATATTTAACTTAACATACTAGCTTACTAGATAGATAAAGTTAATGAGAATTCGTAAAAGCACAAAGCAAGCAACATCGAGTAATCAAAATCAGACATAACCCTAACAGCTCATCCTATCACCAACTGATCAACACTAGTATACAAGTCATCAAGCTCATATAATGGTCATACAAAGGCATCTCTCCTAGCATGCAAATATTGCGCAGGTCCTTATCCCTAACTAGCATGCGATTCATAGATTCACAAATTGAAGCATATCATATAACGTGTATAGGTATTTTGGGAAAACCTTACTTGGGCTCGGTTGATTGCATACACTACACCGTTTCTTGTATTAGAAAAGTCTTTTCTTTAAAAGCATTTCCTTTTGGAAATTTTTTACCAAATATTTCATTTTGAGTTCAAACACACCCGAGAGTATGTCTAAATCCCTCAAACTAAGGCTCTGATACCAACTTGTAACGTCCAAAAAATATAGACCAAAAGTTTTTAATTTTTAATTAAAAAAACAATTATCCAAACATCATCATAATCATAGAAAATCCAAATGTATCATCCCACTCATAAAACATCATAATAGTGTGTGCACTATAGTTACCCCAAGGTCTTCCCCTTTGCACCAGAAGTACATGAAATATAAAATGAAGACCATAATCACAAAGCTTAGTGAGTTTCCCAAAACTACCACATACCATACAAAATAAACACATATTGGGCACCCACCCTTCATCGGGCCTCCTCCGACATCGAGTCCCACCCGGCCTCAAGCCCCACCCAACATCGAGCCCCACTCGGTTTACAAATCTGTCAATCATCAAGCCCTACCTGACATTGGGCCACATCCGGAACACATATAAACATATAATCATGCGAACACATGCGATAATCACAAATAAATTAGCACACAATACAGTCATCGGGTCTCGCTTGGCATCTATCCCCACTGGTTATACATATCAACGCAAAACACATGCAAGAGTCATGCATGAATCTAGCCTCCTAACATAATAAACCATGGAATGGCATTGGTGTCTTCGACCCACTAAACACAATGAGGAAACTCACCTCAAGCTGTTGAGACACTTAAACAAATCTCTGCCTGCTGGTTAGACAAATCCATGCGCTATCAATACCAATAAAATCCAATTAATAATTGCATCCCAACCCTTAACCATTAGTCCAAAAAATTGGGCCCATAGCATACAATAATCACAAAGATACATAGTATACAAAATAGCCATCGGGCCCCGCCCGCCATCAGACCCCGCCCGGTAATCATACAAGTACATAACACATGAAAGAGTCATACGGACATCTAGAACACTAACATTACATAATCATGGGGTCGGCATTGGTGCCTTCGACCCGCTTAACATAGTGGGGAAACTCACCTCGAACTGTTGAATCACATTGATAAATCTATGGTTGTTGGTCCGACAAATCCCCAAGCTATCAATACCACATAACATACAATTAATAGTTGGATTCCAATCCATAACCATCAATCCAAAATTAGGGTAAAAAGACCACTTTACCCCTTACCTCGTTTTGTCCAAGACTAAGGCCCAAACCTACAATACAAAAGGTCCAATTACCAAAATAATCATCCAAGGCCCATTTATGGCCCAAAGTTCCAAATTAGGTTTGGCCCAAACCATTTCACGGGCCTTAATACAAGGTCTAAAAATATTCTTAACCCAAAACACTTGAATTTTGATGGCCCAACAAGGCCCTAAACATCTAAGCCCAAACTATGGTCAAAACCAAAGACCCAAGATTCAGAGGCCCACCTAGTTGAGCACGTGGGGTGTACTCAACTCGTACACACAACATACTTGCCTTAGGGCTTGTATGCTAGGTGTACCTGCTTGTATGCTCAACCTACTCCATCATTCACCCAACTTCCATTTCAAGCTCTTAATTGATTAAGACATCACTCCACAACTTAGATTTGACTTGCTTAGACAGGTTTATCACATAAAGTTGCTAAGTTTACATGCATGCATGGTTTAATGAAGGTCTTAAAGCTCAAAAGGACTTAATAGATGAGTTAGTTCATGCATGAGACTATAAACACAATAAAGCTTGCACCTTTAAGCTTAATAATCTCATAATATGCCCGAATATAAAAGAATAAGCCCCTCAAATGACTTAACCTATCTAACTAACCCAAAAAGAGACCAAAAGCAGAAAAACCAAGACATGAAGATATCTAAACACACAAGGATAAAGGTTAGGACTTTATACCTTAAAAGTCACCAAAAGACGGAGCTAAATATGGATCTCTAAGCTTCCTTCCAAAGAATAAGTCCACCAACTTGTTCTTCTTTCACTTCAAGGAACATAAACTATCAAAATCAAGATCAGGGCTCAAAAACACTCAAAGGGTCTATTAGAGTTCAATATTAGGGTTTTAACACAATGGAGACTGGTAAAGAGGTCAGCCGTAGGGACTTAAGGATCTTATATAGGGTATGACACCCTAAAATTAGGGTTTTGTTATCCTCCACGTACGCCATGTGTAACCCTCATATGCCCAATATATGAGGCTTCTACTCCGCGATCAGGTACCCTCCTTAGTACACTAAGCATACCATGTGGTACGCCCCACGTACTAACTCCAAGGACTAAATTGCAATAACTTAAATATAAAGGGCAAAAGGAAACATACCCAAGATCCAAGAGTTACAATTCTCTCCCAATTAAATCAGACTTCATCCTCGTAGTCTGCTGCCCTGTATAACTCCAAATAGTGCTCCCACATTATATCTTCTGGCTCGCAAGTCCACTCTGAATGTTACCATTGCACCTTCACCAACTCGACAACATTGTTCCTCAAGGTTTTCGTCTTTCGATAAAGGAT